CACACAGGCCTCGTGATCTATCAAGTCAGTGATGAGGAGACGAACAAAAATTCTGATTTGAATGGAAAGAAGTTTACAGTTTCTCTGGCAGAGATAAATAAAGACGCAAATCCATAGTATGTCAGAGGTGAGAACTGCGGGGAAAAATAAGGCCGCAAAGGAAATTAGAGAGAATGGGAAGAATGGGCTGTCATTTTAAACAGGGCAGCCAGGGAAGGCTTCTCTGACAAAGTGACCTGAAGGGTGAGGGGGCAAAGTGCAGACTCCTGGGAGGGGAGAAGGGAAAGGCCTCCACAGGAACCTGCTGCCACTCAATTTGAGCTGAAAAAGGAGGAACTGGGGCAGATGATCCCACAGGTCTCCTCAACTCTCAGTGTGCCCTCCACTCGCTACTTCCTACCAGCCACCAACGCCTACTGAAGCGAAGACCTGCAGTTCTCAAATCACCACTCTCCTTTTCCCCTACACGCGGGTAATCCTTCCAGTCCTCCTATCCTCATCCTACTGCAAGTCTTCTCTGGCTTATGCCACCCTCCACTCCAGGTTAGCTGCCATAATTCTGAGCTTCCATAATAACCTACACACCCCCTTGCCCCTCCTGCACAATGAACCAGACTTGTCATTGTCCGCCTGCTTCTTTAGACTGATCTCTCCAAGGATTGTGACCACAGCTTACTAATCTCTGTTCCCACCCACAGTATGGTTCTTGGTGACATTCATGAAATGTATGCTGAACGCTGAATGTTCAATGCATAGGGATGTTTCTGGAGGGCAGATCTCAGGTTGATTTTTCTCAGTAGCCCCAGAAGGGGGCAGAATGCCTGGCACAATAGGAGACACCAGCTATGCTACCTGAATCGGTGCCTGCCCTGGTGTTGGCATTTTTTCCAGACAGCCAAGTCATCCTCAATCCCTGACCATGGAAGTACAGGACCAAGATGTGGTCCTCTGGGGTTTAGGTCAGGGCTCAGGGGTAGGAAGCCCCATTTAAGCTTATGTATGCTGTGGGATTTTCTTATTAGAATATGCATTAACAAGCCATAACCTCATCCATAAGGTTCCGTGCCCAGAGATAATTTGGTGTTTGGGGCATGGTTTTTCCAAGCTAACTATTTTACAAATCAAAATCTAATATGGAGTGCCTTGCAAAACCATGGAAGGCTCTACACGGCAGCTGGTGCTGAAAGGCCTGGAGTAGGGATGGCTGATGCTCCTGGACAGACACTCTCTTTGAACTCCAAGGTAATGCGGGCCTAAGTTTGTCCCTAATGGCTTTCCATTGGCAGTTAGGGTAGTTCAAACTTCTTAGAAATGGAATCACAGAGATTGAGAGATAAATAGACACCACCTAATTCCACTCTTTCATTTGACAGATGGAGCAAGTAGGGTCTAAAGAAAAGTGGCAATAAGTCTTTAAAATAGACATGATTCCACTTTCCAGACAAGTAGTACCCTGAGGCTTGAAAGCTAAGTAACCCACTCACAGTTCCAAGTAATTGGGCATGGCCAGAATCGTGCAGGTCTGTCTGTTAACGCTACTCTCAGCCAGAATCTGAGGGTCACAAGCTGTGTTAACAGAGCACCCAACTCTAGCACTTCCTGAAACCCAACATGAAAGCAGGGGCGGGGGCGTCTAAGGGCTTCTCTGATTGACTGCAGCATTTCTCACCAATCCTGACAGGCAGCAAACTTGCTATAGAAAACATTGCGAACTGGACATTCAAGGGGTTGAGATTTCTACAAACTATCACATAAAAACAGCCCCTGGCAAAGTCTTTATTTTTGTAGCTCTCGGCTTCAGAGGTTGTTTTAGGGCAAAATAATCTTAGAGCTAAAAATAGAGCCCAGTGTTTGTATATTGTATACGTGGGTGTCTTCAAGTTGTGACTGTTCAATGTGTGTATGTTTGCAAGGCTTCCTAAGAGTGTGGAGTACGTACATGAGTGAGTGTGTGTAATAATACGCATAAGAGATGAAGGATTAAGGGGGCTCTTCTCTTTCTCCCTCTCTTTCCTGCCTTCTCCCTTTCTTCTTCCCTCTCCTTCTTTTTCTTCTTTCCAGGAATATAAAGGCACTGTAATTGCTTCCTCCCTCAGAGAGATGCAAAGAAAGATTCAGTCAAAATCTACTCCTCACCCATCACCCCTGCAGAGACTCTTGCTGTAATCACAGCTGGTAAGGAGGTAATTGGTGGTGGCAGGAGGGAGAGCATCGCACCCATTAAAGCAGATCTGAAGAAAGGCAGGTCACCTTCAGGTGAAACAGAAATTAGAGTCAGGGGTTTATATTCTTTACGTTTACTCTGCAGAGGTTTGTTTTGTTTTTGTTTTGTTTGTTTTGCTTTTTGTTTTTTGCAGTGCAGTACAATAAAAAGAACACAAAAGGATTCTGGAGTTATAAAGACCAGCCTTCAAATATCTTTTCTGCCTCTTACTGAATATAGAACTTTTACTGCTTAACTTCTTAGATTCAGGTTGGTTGGCTGGTTTTAAACAGAAAGCAGGGTAATCATAATGCATCTCGCTGGGTTATTGAGAGACTTGAATATTACAATATGAGCTCTATGCAGTGCCTGGCACATAGAAGGCTCCAGAAACCTGTTAGCACCTTTACCTTTGGGGCGGCTGTAGAGCGCACAGTAAGTATACAGTGCTGGTTGCAAAATTATCTGCTGTTTTTCTCTCGGGAGAAAATGAAGAAATATGGAAAAACGAGCACATATCCACTCCTTTGAGCACCTTTACAAAACGCTGAAATTACATTTGTAAAATTGCTTCCAGCCCTGGGTAAAATATGAAAATGGAATAGGAAACTAAACAGCTTTGTTAAATTATCCTTTCTAAGAGCAAAGCAAAAACGAAAACAACAACAAAGTCAGGAATGGAGGGCAGTGCTGTTCACGAACAAATAAAATCCACATTTAATGCTCGTATAGGTTGGGGCCCACCTTTTAGCTCCGCATCCTAGGTAAAGGGGAAGCCCAGAGGCGTCCAAACTTGGAAAGAATTGGAGGGAAACAAAACAAACTCAAGTTTTTCCAATTCCTAATCATGTTTTTTAAATAAGCCAAAATCAAAATGTTCTTTTTCCAAACAGCTCACGCTCCTCTGAGCTGAGTCTGACCTCTCAGCACCTTCTAGCTCTGAACTCCCTCAAAGCAGCCGACAGCAGGAAGTGCCTTGGCACACCAACCTCATTCAAGGGAAGAGGAAAGGCAGGGGGACCAAATTTAACTGACAAAGAGAAACAGACCAGCTGCTGTCTGTGCAGCAGCTGGAGAGGAGTGGGACTTCACCTGCACTGTCCCAGCATCTCCAGGAAGTCAGAGCAGACAAGGCCATGGGAAGGGCAATATAGGGATCCAGATCCTGGTTCTATCACTACTTAAAAGACCGCCAACATGCTGCTTGGCTTCTCTGGGCCTTGGTCCCTGGGTCCAAGCAATGGAAATGGGGATTTTGTACTTCACTGTGTTATTATGAGGTCACATGTGTTTCATGGATGCAGAAGTATTTTCTAAAACCTAACATCCCTCTATGTATGATGATGAGTTTTCAAACTTTTCCATTAGCAGAATACCAAGGAGGACCAGCATGATCATGGATGCAAAAGTATTTTCTAAAACCTAACATCCCTCTATGTAGTCAGATGATGATGAGTTTTCAAACTCTTCCATTAGCAGAATACCAAGGAGGACCAGCATGATGAACTTCTCAAGGAATTTGACCAGAAGGCTTAAATTTGAGTGACAATTCTGGTGTCTATGTAAATTTTGGCAGTTCACTTGAATTCTCTGAGACTTACTTAGTAATCCTTTCCCATAGTAGAAATAATATTACTTATGACATAAGGTTCCTGTAAGGATCAACTGAGTTAATGGATTTTAAGAAAACAGTGCTCGTTACCATAAAATGTTATACATGTGTCTTTATCACTTTATAATTTCAAAACGGGTACACAATGCTTATCAAGCAGCTATGGTAAATATTATTTTTATTTGAAAACTGAGAAAATCTTGGAAAGTAAAACAACTGCTAAGGCAGTGGCAAAGCTCAGAATAGAACCTCATTTTTCTAGTTAGGTTCTTTTTCAAGGATTTCACAGTAAATCTATCCCAAACCACGTTGGGGGTTTTATGTACAGAAGGGATTTAAGCTGGGGCTGGATGCTGGTGGACTCTATTGGAATCAGAAGGCGGGTACTTACCACCAAATACAGCATAGTATACATGGAGAAGGAGGCGTGGCCAGAGAAGAAGGACTTCCTGCAAGAGCAAGAAAGGGCCATGAAAGGGCCATATGCACATCCCCGACACACATCTGTCTGCCTTTCTTCCCTCCCTAGACTTTTGGCGGCACCGTCATCTTTGTTTTCTGCATCCTTGGTGGTGCTTTGGTTACATTGCCTGGAACCCGGCAGGCACCCATGAATGCATGAATAAACAAAAAATAAATAAACAAATGAACGAATAGGATTACCAATGCTATATCATAATTGTTTATTTACATATTTGTCTCACTCAGCTGACTGTGAGTTCCTCAAGAATAAGGACTATGCCATAGTCACCCACCTAATAACCCAGGGCCTGGCACTGGGCCTGACACCTAGTAGGTGCTTAGTAAGCGCTCAATGAACTACCAGCATCAAAAGGGTGCACACAGTGGCCATGGGAGGTGATGTCTCACCTGGCTTCCTGGACTTTGCTGTCATCGCCTCTGCATTTGTAGTTTTGAACGTAGCCCTCGGAGCAGTTGATCAGGCTGAAATCAGGGTTGCAGACACTCAAGAAATGAGGACGCAGGCGTCCTATGGAGACTTTAGCAATGTCTGTGAAGGACTGGCTGATGGCACAGCCAAAGAGGAAACAACCCACTTGCTTATAGAGCGCGGCCACGTAGGGATTCTGAATTGTTGACCGGGACTTCTCCTTCAGGTAGTAGATCCGGTAGAATTCCCCTGTGATGATCTGAAAGGAAACCCATAGGGGAATTAGGCAATCAAGACACGTCATCAAAATTGATGCCGTATATGACATTTAATGACATAAGAGAATACTCAGCATATAACTGCAGCTATAATCTAGAAAATCCCAATTTTGTATTTAATAAGTACACACACACAAATATGCTTGGGAGGAAAGGTCAAAGGGCTAACATCGTCATTATTTCCTTTTCTCGAAAAAGTCCTACACATCTTTGTAATAGGAAAAACGTAAAATCAAATGTATTATATATATGTGTGCGTAAATATATATAATAACATAAGAAAGAGACAAATAAGAACTTAGCTAGAGAAAAAAAGTTAGATGACAAGACATGGTTGAAGGGTAGCCAGGATCAGAGGATCTGAATAAATCCAAGGATTCTGGGATTTGGAGTAAAGGACCACTAACTGTTTAACTACAAAGGGCCTCGGCCTTGTACCAACATTGAGCCACGACGGGGATTTCTGGAGGAAACGGTGAATATCTCAAGATCAAGTTCTGGGTTTGAATCCAGGCTCTCCCACCTACCTGGTGTCCTTCAGCAATAACTTAACCTCTCCAAGCTTCAGTCTCCTTCTTCACGAAAGGACGCTGCACACCTTTGCAGAGTTGTTGGCTTAAATATGATAAGGAATGGGAAATACTCGGGTCATAGAAAGCGATTCTTTCATCTTCCTTTTTAGAAGTATGGTATGATGAAAAGAACACTGATCTACAAGCCAAGGAACTTTTAATACAATGCCCTTCAGTGTTTGTGAATTTCTTCAAGTCTGCCTGCACTGTCCCTTCGGTCCCGAAGGACAGCAAGTAAGTCTTGATTTTCATACCCTTCCTGCATCCCACTGTGTCTACTCCTCGATGCTTAGAGGACATTTATCACTACTTAAAAAAAATAAAATAAAATAAAAGAGCCACCAGTTATTGAATACCTACTACATACTAGGCATTGCTTTTATATACTTACTTTGTAAAATCTTTTTATATATTTACTTTGTGAAAACCATGATAGATACAGTTGAGGCTCAGAGAAGGGAAGCATTTCAACTGAAACTGCCTGGTTTTATATTAAGAATGTGAGAGGGCTGGTCAGCTGATCCCCTATAAGACAAATGCCCATGATGCCTACACAGCAGATGCAGCAGAAGACCAATTCCACTTTGGTGACGCACAACCACACCGTCTGCTGCCCTCGTCTTAACTCCATAGCACAGCCCTGGCCACTTCCTGGTTGCAACCACAGTCCAGGGACAGTGATGTTCAACTCATCGCTGACCACAAAGTCTCTTTCACACTTCCTCCCAGGTCAGGATGATGAGCCACACTTGCCCTTTCAGGGAGCAGAGAGCATGTTCACAACCACAAGGGAAGCAATCAACTGACATATCTGGGCACTCCTTTTCAAAGTCTTCTGTTATTCTTTCACAGTTGGGGAAGGCCTAGGGTGTGATCCAAGTTCTCAAGGGCTCCAAAGTCTGGGGCTAGGAGTGCTATGTAGGAGGGAAATGCCAGCTGGGCCTAGAGGCCAGCAGGTACAGCAGTGAGAACTGCTACTTCCACTGCTAGCATTTATACAGTGATTCTGTGTTTATAATTGCTTAATATTTCTAAGTGCTACACTTTGGTTTCCCAGAATCATATTGAGTATGATTCTATATTAGAGGGAGAAATAGTCAACAGTCCTGGCTTAGCCATTCCCTGGGCGAGCAGGACCAATACCTGATCCCGCAGAGGTGCTTAGAGACGGTCAGTTGAAAGAATGAACGAATGAAAGGAAATAAGACAGTAGCACTCACTGTTGCCTTATTGCAAAATTGAAAATATCCTCTAAACATTACCAAGACTCCTTTGATAACACATTGCAAAGATTAAAATCTGAGAAGTATAGCCAGTCAGAAATGAAAGAGTCCATTATATATGGAAAAAACTGAAGTCCAAATTAACTCATAAAAATTAGACCCAGGTGTTCCGACTCCCCACCCAGCATTCTTTCCTTCTATTCATGGTCTAATTCCCCTTTTGAACCTGTTTACACTTTTACCCTATGTAACCTTCCAGGCTAACAAGTTCCAGATGTTTATTACCACCATCATGTTCTTTAACTCTTTCTTACTCTTTATTTATAAGTCGTGCTCACGTGACTTTAGACGTAGGGAGAAGAACACTAAACTAAAAGTCAGGGAGCCAGGGTTCAAGTCCCTACTCATTGAATGAATTTGGGACAGTTAGGTTCTTTTTTGCAAAATGAGGGTGCTAGACACTGTGATTTACTCTCATAACTGCAATGACATTTATTCTCATCTCTCATGTGCTACCTTCACCACTAGGCTCCCAACCCAGCAAAGGTAATAAGCAGTAGCAGAGCAAGGGTACTTCCTCGGATATGACACCACAGGCAAGGAGTGGAACCAAGGCTCCATGCACAATCCCTGTCCTTGGACCGTTCCTGAGTTCCCTGAACCATACAACTGCCACAAATTAAGACACTGTTTCTAAATTGGCTTGGCTTGAGGGTGATTTCCTGTTTGATGCTAAGAAAGAACAGGTGAGTTTCCACTGCAAATTAGTATCTCTTACGTGAATTTACTGACTAACCTCAAGTGAGTCACCTCTCTGCTTCAGTCAGCTTAGAGAAAAAGGGTTTAATTACAACTCAAGGATTCCTTTCAGCTCTAACATCCCTTCATTCTAAAATTTCAGTTTTCCGTGCCACAGTCTTGCAAACAGTAAACTGCTGTTAAAGTGTTTCCTCTTTTCTAGTGAGAAGATAAAGGGGTACAGAGAACATTTTATGGCACCTCATACTTCTAATAACAATGCTAATCATAATAGCAAGCATTCACATTTCTTTTGCACTTTACAGTTCCATTTAATACGCAACTTCATGGAGAAGATATACCCGTTCTACAGATGGTGATACCAAGGCTCTGAGAGAGTGTGACTTATCTGAAAGATTTGTGGTTAGTAAGTGACAGAGGTAAGAGTAGAGCCCAGATATTCTGACTCTCAGGTTCAAGGACTCATAGCAGAGTACTTTGAGATCATTTGATTATTTCTATTGTTATTAAAAACAGTTTCCACTGTGATATAGCAAGTGTGTATTTTCAAGCACCGAGCCAGGCTACAGCCATTTAGCAGACACATGACTCCAGGACCACATGGCTTCTGGGCTGGCCCTGACAGATCCTGGAGTTAATGAGCAACAAATTATGTATTTTTTCTCCGTCCCCTTGTACAGAAGGGTCGGGGAGTCGACAATACAGCCATAAATCATCATTATGAACCAGCCGGACTTGGCTTCTTGTAATCCTAGCCCTTAAAAGACCATTTAATGAAATTCGGGCTGTGAATGACGGCCCGCATACCTCACCTCTGCAGAAGAGGCGAAGGCTTAAATTGTTCTCTGACATATTACACACCTAACTCTGGAGTCCCAGATTTACTGCTTTCGGACTTTATTCATTACTCACAATGTTTTTATTCCTGGGTAATAAAATAAGCTCTTCCCTCCCCCTCCCCCTTCACCTCCCCCTACAAAGGCTCTGTCCCCACCCCCAGACTCCTGCCTCTGGAGCCCTCATTTTTGCTTCAGTCAGCAAGACTGTGATATGTAAATTTCACTGCTGAGAAAAATGCCTTCAATGTTGATCCCTTTCTGAAACAGCAAGCAACAGATTCTGGGGGGGATGGCAGGCTGCCAGGCCAGCAGAAGGGAACTCTCTCCTACCTACCTTTTAAAGCACTTGGCACTGAATCTGGAAACTAATAAACTGGGAAAGCATTGCAATTAAGCTGCGAAGGGACAGAAAGGGATCAGTCCTTGCCTGAGAATGGCTGTGGTTTGGGGAGGTTGTCTCCAACTCTAAGACGGCCGCTCTCCCTGTCTTTTCTGGTGAAAGAGCTCAACTGCCCACATAGTCACAAATATTCAACTGTTCTGGAGAGGAAATTTAGAGAAACATTAAGATAGACATTTGGAAAGGAGAGAGCATAGAGTGGTGAAAGAAGCACTGGCTTTGGAGCCAGGAAAACCTTGATCTGAATCCCATCTCTTAACCTTAGGCAAGTGACTTCTCCTCTCTGGGTTTAGATCTCTTGGTCTATAAAAGAAGATTGATAATATCTATCTGGCGGGATTGCCAAGGGATTCGAGATATGTCAAATGCCCAACATCTAGCAAAGAAGCCCTCCAAAAGTTAATTTTCTTCTTCCATTGGCGAAAGGGAGACAAAAAACTAACAGATCCTTGTAGAGAATATCTTTTCTAAGATAATTCCAAGAGCTCCTTAGAAGAGAACCCTCCAAGCTAAAGTTTAGAACTAGTACCACCTCTCCAGGGTATAACCAGAAAACATGCATACGGACAACACTGGCTTTGACGATTTTATCTAGGATGTCTTTTTCAGGTAAACAAAGTCGAAGGGAAAACTAAACCCAAGGCAGAAAGGGCAATTGTACTGTGCTGTTTGTGTTATTTATGAACGTTCTACTCTATTTACAAGTTATCTCAAGAAAATTAAGGTTTTGCATATAGTGTCTCAACGATCCCTCTTTTTAGAGACTGAGAACTTAGGTTCTTCTCCTACTGAATCTGAAGGACCAATTTCCCTATATTCTGATCTGCTCAAATAATAATATTTGCATGGTACTGTACAGCTTAAAACGCATTTGCATATCTACTGTGTTATTTGCTTCTCTCAACAATCTGTGAATTACTAAATTATTATAAACACTATAAATAAGTATGGCAAAGGCCAGAGAGGCCCGTGAATCACCCTCAGTCAGAAATAAGGCAGTGGCAGGGCTGTCGCTGCAGCCTGGACCTCCTCATTCTAGTTCTTGCCACAGAGCACCAAGCTGTTCTTTCACATCTCAATTATGGGAATTAATGAACTTCTTTCCATTGAGAAGTGATTCAATCAACAAATGTTTAATGAAGGAAGAATTGCTCTTCTCAGCATATTTCTCGGTCCCAAGGGAAAGGA